TGGATTGATGACATTTGAGATGCTTGATTATTCATCAACATTAGAGAACTTTAAGACTAACAAATTGCAGCAGTGAGGTTTGCAAGGTTCTTGGAATACCAAAAGAGCAATGTTAACAAACAATGGGAATGTTTGGCGACTTTGAGCAATCTATTGAAATGGGAATTCATGAAGATAGTCAGAACAAGGCTAAGCTTGATAACTTTTTTAGGTAATTTTCTACCAAGGATGGTAATGAGATGATCAGCTTGAGGGAATATATGACCCAAACGAAGGGGGGCCAGAATGACATCTATTACATCACTGGTGAGAGTAAAAAAGCTGTCGAGAACTTCCCTTTACTTGAGAAGCCAAAGAAGAGGAGTTATGATGCCCTTTGTATGGTTGATGCTATTAATGATTATGCTGTTGGTCAGCCATTTCATCACATTTTAGCTGTTGGACATGCAGAAACTAAGGGATTTTCCAGCATTACGACTGTTGTCTCGAGAACAAATGAACCAATTTGCAAGTTGGTGCAGCAGCTCTCTAAGCTAGTAGGTTTGCCTGAGGTGCAGGATCTTACTCCCTTGCCCTTTGCTGAACGAGAATTGAAGTTGATAAAGATTGCTGTGAACGCCACTCGACCGGATGTCCTCAACATTTCCAACATTTTTAGAAACAAGTTTGCAATACAAAATTGCTGGTGCCCTGTGGTATATGTGAGGATTCATTCTGAGATTGTTAAAAGCAAGGAAATATGCAATCAAGCCATTCTCATCTGTTGTTCGTGGTCTGCGTAAGATGAAAATTGTTGTTGAAGCAAAAACTTTGCTACTGAAAATGATAGCAGAGAGCCCACCCCCTGGAAATGCAATTTTTAATTTAGTTGTCATCAATGGCTATTTGAAAGCTGGAGATATGGACAAAGTAAAGGAGGTGATAAAACTGATTGAGGATATGGGTATGAAACCTGATGTTACTGTTGTGATGAGTGGTTATATGAATGGTGGTTTTTATAGTTTGGGGTATGTTAGTTCTGACACTGAGCAAGCAGTCGATTACCTCATGGCCAAGGTAAAGAAGGTTAAGTTGGTTGGTCACCGTTTTGATCCTTGGGGACAAGGATCTGCTAAAGAGGAGGGTAATGTGATGAAATGACTGTTCGCAATTAATGGCAAAGCAGAAATGGAAGTTTACAGAGAAGCTGGGGTTAATCAGTATGCAACTGAGTTGAAGAAAGTGGAAATTCAGGAAAGTATGGAAGAAGCTGAGCTTAAGATAGTGGAATTAGGAGCTGAAATAGAAGCCGATGATGAGGCAATAGCTGGATTGGAAGCTGATTATAAAGCAGTAGCAGAATGGGGAGTTGACTGTGAAGAAACAGTCAAGGATTTTGGTACAACAGCTGTCATAGCGTTTGTTATGGTGCTTGTCATTTTTGTTGGTATTTACAAAGCCTTGACAATTTCTGTTTTGGAAATTATGTCACGTGTTTAGCTTTATATAAGAGCTTCCCTGTTATGGAAATTTACAACTTTTCTCTCTGTTCTTTCAAGCCTGTCTCATTCTTCTGATCTATTTTCTCATCTTTTACTTTCTAGTCCTTTCTTTTTCTGTTTTCCTTCTTCAGTCACAATTGATCTGGGACAGAAATAAAGGAATCTCTTTGGAACATCTTAATTAGTATTAAACATTTATGATAAGAAGTATAGTTAATTCTCTCTTGAATATTCGAATTCTGGTGTTTTAATTTCTTGAAGATATGTTAATGATGGGATGGAATCAACAAGTACATTGCTGCATTTTGCCTTGGCGATACGGTTCCAGCTGTAGTTATTGTTGATGATTTTAGAGATTTCTTCGATGGAAGGTATTTTATTTAGCTACAAGTCCAACCACCCTTTTTCTAATACCTTTTAAATCATCAATACAGATAATTAGGACCCGTCCAGACAGATATGGCAAGGAAGGGGAAATATTTACAGTAAGTTTTTAGAGAAGTTTTAAAAAATTTTTAATATAAACGATTTAATTAAAATTTTAATAAAAAAGTTTACACTGATAGATTAACGGAGTTCAAAGAGAATATCAATGATGTATAAAAAAATTCAAAATATCATTTATAATTCAAATTCCATCGGTATTTATTTACCAATCAAAATTCTTTCAAAATTTTTACTAAAAATAATTATTAAAAAATATATCAAAATTTATTACATTTTTTTTTATTTTAAACACTTCATTTATATAATAAAACTTTTTAATTTATCTATTTTTATTTTTAATTTTAATTTTCATTTAATCATTGAAAGTTTCACAAATTTCATTTCAGAAACTTTAGTGAAAGTCTACCGCCTCTTCGGAAGAGACTTGGCAATGGTTCGGACTCTAGCTTTGTGTCCACAATGCAATAATTCATGCAAAGTACATAAATTTTCACTGGAAAAATGCTTCATGAACTTGGGGTTAATGAGAAATACTAATTGGAGTTCAACGTATGCACAGTAAAAAAGGGCCTTGCAATCTTTTATTATCTGATACGAACCATGGGGACTCTCCAAGGCTGCTATCTATCTACAAGAGCTGGATTCCTGCCATTTTTACAGTCAGAGGTTTGTGTTTTGAATTTTGAAGTCCCCTAATCTTTGTTTCTGATAGGCTATATAGCAGGTTGATGTGTCTGATAAAGCATCTGCTGTGGCTTAATTTTATTTTGGATTTTCTTTTCTCATCTGTTTTTTAGCAATTTTTTTTCTTGCTCTTTTTTTTTTTTTTTTTTTTTTTGCCAAAGGTGATGGTGCCGTATCGTTTCTTTTGAAATATAACAGCTATTCAGAAAATGGCTGCTCCAAAGCTTTGCTTGGTGATAATGCTAAATCAATTATCAAGTGTAACATGGTATTATCATGTCATTTGATATATCATATTGTATTATTGATATGATATTATAAATTTAAAAAAATAAATTTTACTAACGGGATTTATAGCATGATATTTAACGGTTGATATAATATTATTATATCAATATATTGTTAAAAATTAAAATTGGACAGCAAAGAAATATTTATTTAAATTTTAATAATTTAATGATTATTTTAAAAATACGATTATGATTTAATGATCAAAGATGCAATTTATCCAATTGTTTTTTGAGAGTTGGATCAGCTTTAATCCTAAACAGGTATGCTACTTGGACTTTTTTATGCACACAACAAAAGGCAGTAAGTCGGTTACAAATAATTAAAGTGAAGGTGATTCACACATTATTTACTTGCAGTTACATTTTTCGGGTTAACTGTTTAGCAACAAACTCCTGTCTGATACTCGGGCTCACAGAATTCTCCTCCAAGATCATCACAAGCCTCTCCTAAGAAGACCCTCAAGTATTAACCATATGTCAAAGGAAAGGCAACTGCAAAATTTAACGTCTCAAAAACAACCAAGATTATCTAAAGATATTACATATTGGGACTGTTGTACTCCAAGTATTCTCTCTCAATCTGCTCTGAAGCATTCTTATCCTTATTGCTTCGAGCTTCTGGCCTTAGCTTCACTTAAGGGTACATCTCAACATCCCAAGCTTCTCCTCCAATTGTCTCACATACCTCAGCTGGAAAAACGCTACAATAAACCACTTTCGGAGTTAAGCAAGTCGCGGCAAATAGACGACGAAGCCAATAAAAGTTGGTGGAGGGTAGCTGTAATCAACTGTTGAGTTGTCCTGTGCAACAGGTGTTGCTTAATTTGTCGGGGAACATCGAGGAGTCTGCACTTTTAGCATGGATCTCCATGGCAGGACAAGGTTTTGGTAGATGTAAAGCTCAAGGCTGCCAGCATTTTTTAGGGGATATTTTATTGCTGGATTTAGAGCATCCAAATATATAAAGTTCTTTTGATTAATGACATTAATAGATAAGATAGATGCCAATTTTTCCTTTTTTCACAAGGTATATATCTAGTTTGACTAAGAATGTGGTGGTGACGCCTCCACAGCTCTCCAATCCGCTTAGATTTTTCCGATACTTAAATAAGTAGTGTGAAGTCTGATTATTATTTTGAATTATTTTAACACACCATAAATACAATGATTGATTTTTTAAGAATATTTTGTGTTTTTCGTACATGTAATTTATGGTTCTCAGAAAGAGACGAATTTGCGACACAACCTCAATTGCCATGTCGTTTTAGAATAGGTTACATACTTCCATATAGAAAAAAGAAGTTGAAAATGTTATTTGAACTTAGCTAATAAGAAAAAGAAGTTGAAAATTGACATGTACATATTGAAGATTCTTGTAAATTAATTAATCGCCCTAAAATTCTGCAAATTAAAGCTGTGCATCTTTTTTTTATTTTTTAATTTTTTTTGCAAATGCCAAAGCATTGGAAATGAAAAAGATGGACTAGAAGAAGCATAAACAGCATTTTAGCGAGGATGTAAGGGCAAGCTTAACAGTGACTAGCCTCCGCAACCCATGCCTTTGGAGCATGCTCAAACTTCTGGTTCCGGCTGCCGCTCTACTTCCCTACCCACTACATTATTTTCCTCTATTTTTTCATGCTCCCTTAGGCATAGAAATTGCATGAGGATACGTTTTGAATGATTTCTCACACTATTGCAAAGATAAAACTGAACTAATTTAGAAAACATAAATTAAGCATTACAGAGAAAACATGAATAATTTAGAAGCTTAGAGCATGGATAAACTTTCTTTCCGCTTCCATTGCCGTAAGCAGTTGAGGACCAATATATGCCATGCAGTTCTGTCAAACTAGAGTTCTTGTCGCTACAAAGAAAAGTCGATATCCTACTCGAGTCTGAAAGTCTATTGACCTACCTACATTACTTTAAAAAAAAATACAAAACAAAACAAAATGCTACTCTTGTTCTCAGTCAACTACAAGTTCAAGATAGCCATGAAACATACATTCAAATTCAATCCGACTCCATCAGAAACTACTAATAATTTTTTTTTTTTCAAAATAATGTATTATACATCTCATTTTTCAGGAGAAGACACCTGTTTCCCTATTACAGCCCACTTGAAAAGTTATTTATAGCAGGATGATTTACAAGTTGGGTAACCAGACCATACTGTTACCAGGAAAGAACCAACAATATGCACGGTGCATTAGTTCCTGTCCGACCAAAAACAGAATCTCAATCCCATCCTTGAAATCCATGAAGAAAATTACTATAATAAGTTGATTTTACTGCAAAAGCACCCGTGATTTTCAAAAAGGTTTTCCCAACATAAAGACAACTATGAAAACCCCACCACAATTAGTTGTTTAAGAACACTATAACGCAGATGTGTCCCGCAGTTATCAGATCAAATAGACAATGTCAGCGTTAGAAATCTCTTTCACAGCCAGTCTTCACTTATAGAATTAGCCATGTATACAATGCCGCAAGCCCAGTTTCAAATGGAGAAAACATTAAGATACTTGAACGGTGCTCAAATGAACCAATAGCCGCATGCGAACAGAATGCCTGGTCTCTTCACATGTTGTAAATAGAGCCACAGCAGCTTATAGACCAAAAGTGAAGTCCAAAAATATCCTATTCCTAGAATCTGCACAGGCTTTAGTATCAACATACTAACATTTCAATCAAAAACTATGCAGCTGGGTTAACATGGGAACAAGCTCATCACTAGAAGGCCTATCAGCAGGCAAATCTGATAGGCATACAACAGCAATTCTCACTGCCATCAGCATCTCATCTTCCTTTACTTCTTCCCCAAGAATACTTTTATCTAGAGCTTCCCATGCCTCCCCTGCCTGCTGTAAATGCCGTAGCCACTGTCCTAAACTCCCTCCACTGTCTGCTTCAAGGAAAATTGGATCAGTGGGATATCTACCAGTCAAGAGAACACCCAATATCATCCCAAAGCTAAAGATATCACTCTTATCAGTATACCTGTTGGAATTGAAACTATCCATCTTCGTTAGAACAAGCATGTGGTTTAATTCAAGAGGTGTTTCACATATTAGAAATAGCATCATTAACTAATGATGTTCAGTTAGCAAAACATTGAGACTTTTTGTTTCATAATAAGGAGACATGAAAGCAAGGAAATAAAAGAAAATAATAATGTACAGTCCAATCTCAATTGCCTTATATCAATTTTCCATTTTACTGCAGCAAGTCTGCCAGGAAAACAAAAGAGCAGTGGTTCCAAAAATAGCATGCATTATTAAGTTCCAGTAGAAGACTGGAAAAACATCAAGGGACCTATGAATAAGACCAATATATGCAAATTTCCAAAGCAGTTATCTAAAATTTAATTTGTTATCATCTGTCATAGTGAAATTTGTTTGTTATGCATATATTGTGTATTAGAAACTGAAACAACTACAATATCTGCAACAAGCTCCACACTATTAATAAAATCTAAAGATGCCATAACCAGATTCCTGATAATTATAATCCTTATGAAGGAATAGGGATATCAATATGGAGCTACCGACTGCAGCCAACCACAAGTCACACCACAGCTCAAGCAAAGATGCAGTAACCTTTAAATAGCAGAATACTTTCAGTACCTGCAGTTCTGGAAACACTCTGGTGCACCGTAACCTGAAGTTGCCCTATCTATATTAGGCATGCGCTTAGCCAAACCACAATCTGCCAGCCTTGGTTCAAATTCAGCATCTAACATCACATTTGTGGGCTTCAAGTTGTAGTGCAAAATCTGAGGGATGCAAGTAAAGTGAAGATATTGAAGAACCTTAATCACTCCGACAGCAATCCTGAGCCTGACATCCCATCCAAGCTGCAGCTGATTTCCCCTAACTCTATTCATTGCATCCTCAAGGCTCCCCGTTGGCATATAATCATAAACCAAAGAAAACCTATCAGATTCACCAACATAAGCCCTTAAACTCATCAAATGCCTGTGTCTCAAGGTAGCAAGAACCTCCAGTTCTTGTTGTATCCTTCTCTTCACGGACTTTCTCTGCCTTTCCGGTGAACCACTATCAAAGGGCTCAAGGACTTTGACTGCAACAGTGAGCCCATTATCAAGAACTGTTTTATAGTACTTGCCGTTGGAGCTCGATCCTAGCAACTGATTCTCATTTGCAAGAGCTGATTGGAGAGTCTTAGAAGATATTTTCGGGGAAAATATAACGGGACCTTTGAGGATTGGGGTTTGATTCATGAACCGAACCGCAAATTTGATTAATACAGCAAAAAGAACGGCTCCAATCAACCCAGTTAGAATTCCTAGCACAATGCTGAGAATTATCCTTTCGAGTCCAATCTTGAGTTCTTGAGGCCTAGAAGGTGAAAGAGGCTGATAAGAGAGGTATCTAATGAGCCTTTCTTTGCATTCTACAGTTGTTTGGTGAAAGCAAAGAAGAAGCAGCAGCAAAAGCAAAGAGAGAGTGCAACTTCTTATTTTCTCCATAGAAGCAAAAAGCAACGAACAAACATCAAAATCGTGAAAAACAAAGAGAAACTGAAGATATGGACAGTTCTTCTTTCTTATCTTAAAGCTTCAAATCCACCATAGCTAAAAATCCAAAACCCCATAAAAAGTGCTCCATGTTTCTTCAGCATCCTACAAAACAAAACAGAACAGAACAGAACCCAAAGGAACTTAAATTTCCTACACAAGTAGTTCAAAAACTGGGACTTTCTTCAATGTTCCAACTTATTTGGACACAGAAAGGACAAGGAAACCCTCCAGAGGTACCTTCGAGCAATTGAATCTGGATGAGTAACAGATAAAAATCAAAATTTTTTCAACCCAAAATCTTCAAAAGAAAGACGCAAAGAATCATTTCGTCCCTGACTTTTATTTGCGCCATGACCTGAAACTCCAGACGAATCTAATCTTCAAACTTAAAACCAAAAAATAAAGATTGTACCCAACTTAAGCAACAGAGCAAAAACCAAAAGAGAAACGTTTCCCACATTCGACAGAGAAATTTGTCTTTAAAGTATTAACAACATCAGATGAAAACCCAGTTTTTATTTTCCCTCTCAAAGCCTGACTAAACTCCAAAGCTTTGAAGATTTCCCAGTCAAAGAGTAAGCAAACTTAGAAAATTATAGTCGTTTTCTAACATTTTTTTTTGTTTAAATTTTCTTAACCAATAATTGGTTTCATTGGGCTTCAAAACATCATAACAAAAAAAATCAAGCTCTAACTGTTTCCTTTCTTCACTACCATAAATAATTCTAACCAAAATTTTTCTAGTCTTGAAAACAAAAAAAAAAAAACAATTCAACAACTTTGTTTTGGTTTGTTTTTCTCTCTCTAATCCTAAAATAGGGGCCAAGCCAAGGAGGACCATTTTTCTCTGCTCTTCTCTTCCCGCCTCAGAGTGCAGGGCAGGGGGTGGGGTCCAGTGCCATGTGGGCGGTAGCATTGCTATCCGGCCGATAGCGAGACATCGAAGTGTGTGTGACAAGTACCTGGGAGAATCGTGAGCGTTGGTTGGGAACCCTACGGTAATTTGTGCGGTGTGGCTTTTCGTGACTGACTGACTGTATTATACAAATGGAACAGCACTCTCTTACGCTTATGGTGCGATTAGTAAAGTTTCATTTGCTAAGATTGTGAGTTTTTATTTTATTATATATTTATTAATTTAAAAAAATGAAATGAATAGACCTTAATTGTTGAAATTTTAAGATATCTCTTTTAATATTTATCATCTAATTCATTTAAATATGTACTTATTATAAATTACACTATTTAATAAAAATTTTAATAAATACAAAATATTACATAATGTTAGCATTTAATTATATTAAAATAAAATTTCATAATTTTAATTTCTATAATAAAATATCAAAGAAATTTCAAAAAATTATTGTTATTTTTTAGTGAAGTTCAAATTTTATTTAAATACTATCCTATAAAAATATCATTTCGTATTTTTATATTTGAAATTATTTAAAATTAAATGTTGATTACAAGAACTAGAAGTTTAATTTTTTACTAACAACCACAACGTTGTTAATTATAATAATTAGTAAATTACTGCCACAATTCTAAAAATTGATAGCTTAGGACCGCCAAAAAATAATAATAATAAAACATCCATTGAATTGTAAAAATAGTAGAAGTAATGAACTTATAAAAAAAAAAAAAGGTCGTTATCTATGAAATATAATTAAAATTTTACTTAAATTTTTATTTTTTATTATAATCAATTAATCTTTAATATTAGTTACATTTAATTAATTTTTTATTTGAATGAAAAAATTTAGCACTATAATTTTTTTTATCAATTAAAATAAAATTACTTATAACATCAATAAAATAAATAAAAATTTACCACGTAACACAATTAATATATATAAAAATTAAATAAAATAAAAATATTTGTCTTTTCTATTTTCTCTAATCATCTCTTTTTAAAATCTCTTTAAAAATTCAATTAACTGTAATTAAAAAATTGGTTAACTAAATTTTGCCCCTCGATTAAATTTCATCTTTAAGAATTCAATTAAATCCAATAAAAAATTAAATATTTGATTAATTGTAATTAAATATAAAAAACTTAGTAAAAAGGAGAAAAAAGTGGGGTAAGAGAAGAAAAAGTGCATAAATTTGCTCTTCATGCGTATCCAAACAATTAAATTGCAGGCACAAGAAAGCATCACTAAGACAAATTTACAAACATAGAATTGACCTAAAATATCATCCTCAATCAACGGCTCCACAAACATAACACATTGCATTACTTAGGCCGCCCCTGTAAATCTTCGCTTCAAGCTGATCACAGCGCAAGGTGATAGGCCATTCTTATACAACCTTGAGGTATCCATGGGGCAGGCAAGTACAACCTGCCACTCTCCACTCTCCTATAATCACCCCCAAACACTGGCGACATCCATTTCAATTAGAAGCAGCTCTTGAATTTATAGATATAATAATTACACAAAATGTTAATACATTTTTCAAATTTCACACTTCAGGTTCAATTCATACTTCCGATTTGGTTTTTCTTTTTCTTTCTTTCGTGGAAGTTACCCGTTTGAGTCTGATAATAAAGCAAGGACCTCAGTATCATCAAAATTGGATTCTACTGCAAGCTCAAGAGGGATTTTACCTTCCGTATTTAATGCCTGTGGATTTGCTCCCCTGCAGAAAACCATAAGCAATCTTTGTAACATTCCAAATAGGGCCAAGTCTTTTGTATGTGTGTGTGTGTGCACACGTGCATGCACGTGCGTGTGTGCATGCGCACGCGAGAGAGAGAGAGAGAGAGAGAGAGAGAGTTCCGTAGATGAGTAATCTACTATCAAAGGAAAATTACATATAGAGCGTGCACATAAGACGAGCCATATTAAAACAAAAATTCAAGAAAACTGCTATGAAAACAATGCAAATATAACCATTATGTAGCAAGGATCCTCAAATCACCTGGCAAGGAGTAATTTAGCAAGTGCAGCTTTGCCTTTGAGAATACATCGATGAAGTGGCATTTGACCTCTTGAATCCATTGCATTTATATTTGCTCCATATTGTAATAGAAGTTCAAGCATGCCAATGTCTGTGGTTTCACATGCAAGGTGAAGTAAGGTGCAACCATCTAAATCATCCATGGATTGGCCCTCACTGCTGCCCCTCAAGTTGAAAGAATTAGCAGAGGATCTGTCTGATGAATTCCCTGTTATGTAACTGGAGTTATCAACATTTGAATGTTCTTGCAGTAGCATCACTTTGGCAAGGGTTAACGAAGACCCAGAAGATTGTTCATACACTGCATTCACATCTGCTTCACAATTAACAATATAACGGTATACAGCCTTCTTGTCATTGGCATGAACACCCTCCCATATTTGTTGTGCCACTGAATGACGATGTTGCTTGTCTTTCGGCTTCCGAACAAAAAGCTTTTCTGCATACTGAGACCAAAAAGAAAAAGGAAAATTCCTTTAATTGTTTACAGACGTCAGATAATTATAAATTTTTTAAAAATAAGTTATTTTTTTAAGCCTAAGAATATGCTCAGGCTTTCACGAATCATCAAATTTAAAGCACAGCACCAATGATGTATTTGATTGGAGTTAATGGGAAGGAGATGGTCAACCCTTCCACTCTATCCACAACATCACCTTAAGCCTATCTTTAAGACATAAAAGAAAAGAAATCAAAAACAAGAAGAGGGTACAAGTGGCATTCAAAGTAGAATGCAAATCATCAAGTTGTTGACAGCTTACTTGTTAAATTTAAGTTGAAGCAGTCACAGGTAATTATTTGCTTTGCTTAAGTTCTAGAATTAATACTGTTCAGCTAACCCCCCAAAATCTAATTTATATCTGATATCATGCATATGTTTGCCTTGTGAGCCATAATTAAAAATTTAAGGAAAACAAGATCATCTTCTGTAGTAACCCACCGGCAACTATCTAAATAATAAAAATTTAACGACTAGAGTAGAAGAAAAAATGCTAAACCTTTGCATGAATGAACTTCTCCTTTACAGATATAGAATCAGAATGACAAGGTTTGCCGGGAAGAAGCAGCTGCGGTTTATCAGACTTGTAAAAGCTTCATCACCAGAATAATGAGCATTAGTGACAAAAGGCAAGATAATCAAGTTTGATTTTATATTATTTATCTTATGTTTAGTCATTAGAAAAAGATTATTTACCCTGTGAGGGTAAGATCAACATGGAAAGCACTTCTTGAATGCAACAATTCCTCCCAAACTGAATTAGCGAAGGTGTTGCCCAGAGATTGAAACAAACTTATAACAGAAGGCTCCCATACTTTTACATCAAGAGTGAGTGACCTAACCTGAAATATGAACCAACAAAAACTTAAGAGCTACATAAATGAGGAAGCAACATTAACATCATTAGCAAGAGATGGTTTTATCCAGCTAAGAGAATTCATTTCAGCAAAAACCAGTCTAGTCCATAGAAATAGCTAATACAAACTCCAACAAGCAAGAAACTAACTGTTCCCTTATTCTCAAATTCCTAAAATCCAATCAATGGTAGTTATTCATCCTATTTGTACTACAATGTTCGTTACTGAGAACCATTTATCCTTTAAAAATTAAAAAATCCAAGAGAAAGAGCAATTGGTCAATAAAACATACTATTTTAAGAGATGCAGGATTCTCATAAAGGGATGCATAAAAAGGTCCATATATAATTTATTCAATTTACCTTTGATATGTGAACACCAAGATTACGGTGAACACCAGAACATTCAATACAAACAAGAACACCCAGATTCAAAGATGCCCAATCAGGTTCAGGGGCACCACAATCTGCACATTTATCATTTCCACATACTCTTTGCAGTACATCAATTGGCTTTTCATGTTTTAGACAGGACCTTTGATGTTGTGAAGCTCTTGATTGGCGTTCATTATGTGCACTTACAAGGTTTCTCTCAGAGGTATACTCTTCAAGAGCGGTATGATCAAAATCAGAACTTTCAAATGAACTACTCTCACTGGCAGATCGATGATGACCACTTCCAATGGGACTAGCAGAAAGACACTGAAATATTATTGGAGTATAATTGTCAATATATCAGTAAGGAAATCAACAAGCAAAAATCATGCTACATCTTTAATAATTACCCTCTCAGGAGCCTGAGAACTAAGTAATGAAGCAATAACCCCAGTTATCTTTTCAATCCAATCCATTTGATCTAGTGCACTCTCTGCCTGCACTGACAAGCAGAAACAAACATTATTGAGGATCAATGCCAAATAATAACCCTTAATCCTACACAAGTGCAACATTTTTGGCACCACTATCAGTCAATAGGTTGATCCCAGAAATAAGATAAATAGATAGATATAAATTAACCCCTAATCAGAAACACAGCCTACACCTAAATCATACCTGCAAAGTGTAATTCTTTGTTGGAGAAATTATCCTAAAACAAAACCTCAAATCTGACTGGTCAGCATCAACTTTAATTGTTGATGTAAGCAGGTTCACTGTGTGATGGGCAACAGATTTTTCATCATGTACACCACCATGATAATGAGAAGAAAGCCACCGACCCAATAATCCAGATCCAAGCTCAGAGCTATTTCTCTGACCAGAAAGCTGACTGCTGGACCCCTATTAATACATAAAGAAAAATTATAAGAGCATAATAGAGCATTGACCACAAAAGTAACTTCAAGAACCCTATTTCTCAAAGTTTTTCCCAAAGGGGGAGAGTGGGAAGAATCTTACAGATGATTTGCTACACTGCTTACGGTAGTAATACAGCATCCCTCGGCTATCAAGGACAAAAAATCTTCTTTTCCAGTCACCTCTCAGGTTTGATGAACGTTTGGAGAGATAGCCTTGTCGAATGGTTTGAACCTGCAGGAGTATTTTTCAGTTTTAGATGCAGATAGACAGTTACACAGATGCAAAAGCATTAACAGGACTAATAAAATCTCACAAACAGAACTCTGAGATAACTTAGAATCTTCTTTAAACCTTTCCCTTTGCTGCAGATTGCATAACTGCCTCTATCATTTTATGTGAACTTCT